GGACAAAGTGCGCGAGGAGGAGAAAACCAAGCGACCCGATTTGTTTGCCATCGCCTCCAGCTACATTGGCCAGCTGAAACTGAAGTCGCCGCACATGTTCAAGGAGAGCGACTTCCATCAGGTGGCCGAGCGGCCCGTTAAGGAACCGGTGCTTGCGCCGCCCGGCACCAGCACGGTCAAGCTGCTGACTGGCGACAAGGTGAATGCAACGACTGCCTCAGCGACCTCCACGCCCACCACGAAAACAGCCCCCGGTGCGCCCTTCTACGAGCAAAAGGCGGCCGTCAAGGAGCCGGACGCCAAGGCTGGTAAGTAGCTGTTAAATAAGCCTACATTATTTGCTGACAAATCTCTGCCGTGCAGGTCAACCGATGCGCGGCGGCGAGGCCAAGCTCGGCAAACCGGAGGGCAGCACAGTGACCGTGGTGTCCATCTCGAAGTCCGTTTCGGCGCCGTCCAACAGCGAACGCGAGAGCAAACGGGATGCGGCAACGGCTGCGTTGCGGGAACCCCAATCCCATCGCAGCATGGATGCCAGGGAGGAGCTGCAGTCGAGTGTCAACAGCAGCAGTGCCAACAACAACAACAGCAGCAACAACAACAACAGCAGCAGCAACAACAACAACCCGAGCAGCAGCAGCAATGGCAACCAAAGCGAACGGCGCAGTCGCGAACGGGATCGGGAGCGCGAGGAACGGCACAGCATGAGCAGCACACGCAGCTCGCAACGGGACAGCAATCGGAACAGCAACAGCAACAAGGAGCGCACCGAGGCCGAGCTGCAGCAGCGCGCACGTGAACGTTCGCAGCGCCTCGAGGAGCTGGAGGCGGCAGCCGCTCTGCGTGCACAGAAACGCGAGAAGCTATCGCGACGCGATGAGCGCGGCCAGCACAGCACACGGCACGACGGTGTCGAGACGGTGGATCTGGTCACCGGCAGCGGCAGCAGCCAGGAGCATCGCCACTACGATGACTACGAAGGACGCCAGCGAGATCGCGACCTCAGTTCCGTCTCCAACGAGAGCAACGGTTCGCTGCAGCATCGACGCAGTCACGAGACAATTGAATATGATAAAGGTGAGGAAAGCGCATATAGAAGGAGTCCATAAAGCATATAGATTCTTGATCGGTATCAACAAAAGGAGATATGTGATATCTTGATTAAACTTCGCAGCGATGCGTTTCTTTCGAAGTCGGTTCGAATCGGACAACTTTATCATTTAGCTGTCATAGGAATAATAGGTCATACTTGTAGTTTTGTATATAGAAAAGTTGCTTTTAATTTTTGTAGACTGTCTTTCACAAACTTAAAATGAGGAATAATCTCAACAAAGTGGGGATTATATTTATTTAAATTAATTATTTATTTTTCAAGATATCAACAACATAAAACATATAAACAAAATTGTATCTTTATGGATACTATAGGAAAATCGTTTTTGCATTAAGTTTCCGTGACAGGATTATTCGAATATATATCACATATTTTCGCAGCTAGCTTTATCTTAATTAATTCTATTTCCTTTTCGATTTGCAGATTCTAAACGTCGTAAATTGGAATCGTCGACGAGCAGTTCAAAGGTTAGTAGCATATGGTTGCATACATAGTACGCTAAGACAACGACCGACCGAACCGCAACCAACGGAGGGCATAACAAAAAACAATAAAAAACAAAAACAAAACAATAAACAAAATGAGTGAAAGAGCATGCGAGAGGCGCATGTTCCCAGCAGCTGGCATAGACGAGACGTCAGACCAAGTCAGCAACGCAACGCAACCCACCAAAATCAAATTCCACTCTGGACACAATTGGAACTCGTCCAAGTTGAAAACAAGTGCATTCACCAAGTATACAACAAATGTGTACAAATTTGGGGTATTTTTTTCATAGCATTAAGATCTATATAAATAGTTAAGTAAGCGCACAGTTGAACTGTATAGAGAGAAATTAGTTTATATATATTATATATTAAGCAGATCAGATTTTAGTTGCAAATATGCATTTTAAGGCAGCTCTGTTAAATCATTTGTAGAGTCCGTTTTAGGTTTTATTATGCGATGTATATATATTTTATGTAGTTTATGTGTAAGTTAAGCTAGCTTTATAAGACACAAGTGGACCACAACAACAGGATGCAGAAGTTAAAGACGAGATGCGATGCAAAATTTAAAGACGAGCTGCTGAAGTTAAAGACGATGAAGTGATGCGGATAAAAACGAAGCAATCGCTGCGAGTCACTCTACCCAGAAACTAAAAAAAAGAAAAACCAACGCTGGAATCAAGCAGAAAAAAACCTATTTTAATCATCATTGGACTAAAAAGCAACATCTTAACCTTCATCTGAAACGAGCTGAAAAAAGATGCCGGACAAGCTCTCAAATGGACTACATTCCAAGTGCTGCAAATTCGCTGCAAAATCAAAGATAAATATTCTAAAAAAACAACCTGACGACCTGTAATCAAAGATAAATATTCCAAGAAAACCTGAGGACCTGTAATCCCAGCTCATCCAATCAACCGGCGGGCAACCCAAAACACAAAGGACAACACAACCAAGACGGACCGCAGTTAACTTAACGAGCATTTTCTTAGCCGCAGTCAAGGCTAAAAGACTGAAAGGAAACCAAGAAGCAACAGGCAGCTATCCAGATAAATACAACTTGATCCGAGCGCCATCAAATGCATGGAAAAATAATCCCCACCGAACTGCAGTCTAGACTCTATTTAATCTCAAACAAAGCTGATCGTTATGGAGGATAAACCTTAGAAACAAACATTCCGGAGAGCATTTCTTTCACTACACATTCGACTTGCAACACTGCAAACATGGATTTATCGATAACTAGTAAACCTTAAATTGGGAATACACAACATAACGAGAGACAACACACCTTTGACGCTATCAACAAATTAAATGATCGATCTTCACAATATGGATCAGGAATATGTCAAGAAACAACCCAAAGCGCTTGAACTCGCCGCATCAGAACTGGAACTAGAACGGACCTTAATCTCCACTCGAGCAACCGCAGATGTGTATCTTAAAATAGTGGATCCTGTTACAAACTTTCATCGGCATAGAAGAGAGGAAATCGAAATTAAAATTCGGACCTGTTTGGAAACTTTTATCAAAGGCGGAGTAAACCCGGACTACAACGAAGAAATAGTTGATCTATTCGAAAACTCGTTTCGAATGCTGACCTTTTAAAGTTGGGCTTAATCTACAATACAAATATTCGAACTTATTCAACAATCGATAAATCGATTAATCGATACATATCTAAAATTGGATCCATTCGATAACTTTAATCAGAAGAGAAGAAGCTTTAAAGATGACCTTAATCTACAATTAGAAAAGAAATCTACAATCGATAAATTGCAAATCCTGCTCTTAAATTGGACTCATTCGTTAACTTTCATCAGGAGAGAAGAAACTTTAATGTTAACCTTAATCTACAATCAGAAAATCGCATGTCTTACTCTAAAATTGGAACTTTACGTAAACCTTCGTCTGATGAGAAATCCGTCAGTCTCTGGAACCGCTCAAAACTCATTTTAAACCAATAAGTTCTACGTCAAAGACAAACCACCAAAAATAATGGAACACTATTCACACTGGACGTGCTGCGCCCAGCGTTGCCCAACACTACTGTTCCGACTCTACACAACGTCTCAGCCTAGTGCAGACTGCAGTTTAGTTGTACTTTTATTCGTTGATCTTGTGATTGTGTGCAGACGGGTAAGTGATCAGCGTATTGCGGGAGGGCGGACACTCAACTTAGGGGCGGGCCAGGATTAGCGTAGCAACTGGGCAAATGTCCTATTGGGCTTGGTCTTAATACTTTTTAATTTGTTTTTTTTTGAGTTTTGTATTAAAACACATCATCCACATCGATCATGTTGCCACATTTTCCAATTCATATTAATATAATGTCATTACAGAAGGTTGAGGAGCTCGTCGATAGCGTGAAGAAGGCGCGCGGCCTCAAGACCAAAGAGCGCAACAAAGACAAGATGTCCGATGAGGAGCGTGACGCGCGCAAGGATCGCAAGCTGGGTCGGAAACGGGATCGCAACGAGGAGTCCAGCACCAGTGATCACAAGCGTCGGCGTGAAGGTGAGGCAAGAACTGTGAAAATAATATTCAAGACATTCAAGAATGTACGATTTTTAGCACAAAACGGCGATGATGACATGCGCGAACGGGATCGCCATAGAGTAAGTGCTGAGTACTAACATAAATGTGATGGCCAGCGATAACATTTCTCTTGTTATCTGCAGGACAAATCATCCCGAGAACGTTCGCACGACAAATTTGATAGGGAACGCGGCGGTGGAGGTGGTGGCGGTGGCGGCGGTGGCGGCGGTGGCGGGGGAGGCGGCGGCGGCGGCAGTTCGCGTGGTGATGATCGACAGTACAGCATCTCGAAGTCGACACGCTCATCGAGAATGAACTACTGAACGCATGCGGGAGGTCTATGCCCGTATTGTGAAGCGCATTTGATTTAAGAATAAAAAATAGAAAAACAAAAAAACGAATACAATTTTATTTACTATTTTAACGTAAACTGAAAACTAATTTGTGAAAATTTTACAATTTTCTAATATCTAGCTTAAAAAGTTAATAACTAAATAAACTCAATGTAAAGTTAACAAAAAAGTATTTCAAATGTTTTAAAAAACTGCGAGAATGAAAACAATTTATTGTTACTGAAATGCACTTAATTTAAATTTGGCGGCTGTGACCGATAATTTTGGCATTCGATAAATTTTTGAGCCATTCACAGCCAGCATTAAGCATAGGCATCGATAAGCATTTTTGAGTCTTACTACATATCGAAATTAAATATCGATGCGCAGCTTTTAATAATATAAATCTTTTGATTGGAGCATTACTTGCCTCGTTTTCGGAACACTATCGGTCGACTTGCCAGTGAAAACGGTTTTATACTTTCATTAAATATTAATGTATTCGTTTTAATGAGCATTTTATAGTATTAAAGAATCGATACTTTTTGCAGCCGTTTCAAATGAAAGCAACCCTAAATTGCGCACAACGCCGTTATGAGAATTTTTAGTACATTTTGTTGCAAAGGATATATCGCTAGCAAATGTCCTGTGGCCCACACGTGAAGGTGAAGCTCCGAAAATTTTAGTTTTCAGTGCGTGTTCCAACAAATTGGCAATGGCAATGGCCCGGCGGCAGTTCTACTTTAGTAAATACACAAATTTTCACAAAAATCACATCAAACTGTTTGCTGTTTATATGAAAACGGCAAATCTAATGCAAAACTTTAACGTGCTCAAGCGTTCGCTATAAGCAGCCGAAGGTGGTGGAGGGTGAGGACGGGCGCTGCCGCTGACGACGCTGACGCCGCCGCCGCCGCCTGGACCACCCACCAATACATTAACAGCACTTTTTAAGGGCTAACTGTGTGTCCGTGTGTTAGTGTTATTTCAATTACATCAATTATTATGCGACTTGCGGCGTAAGCAACAAGCCAAACAAGTGTTTCAAGCAGACGAACATTAAATATTGCTTGCTATAATTTATGAAAAATTAAAACAACAAAAAATTAATACAAACGTACTGAAATGGCTTAACGTAGGCGTGTCTGCTTATTGGTCGCTGTTGCTGCACAATTAAACCAGCTAGTTGCGGTAAGTGCCATTCAAATGCGGCTTAATTTAGCTACTCATTTATTTATGCACACATACATATAGTACATATACATTAAGCTTACATAATAAAAATATATGTGCGCCAGGCGCGCGGTGCGCAAACGATTTTAAATATGAAGGTAATTGCATAATAAACTGCCGACATGCCATATCTTTGCGCTATATAGCCTGATTTGAAGAGCTAATGAGCCAATTACTAAATTCCACTGAAAAACATACTACCCAATGCTGTACAAAGGAAGCTACTTCTTTTGTGCTTGCTCTCCCAGCTGCCATTTTCAGTGCTGACAATTTGGCGATTTAAAATTTGGCTATTTTCTAGTATTTGAACTTTTTAACTGTACTTCTACTTGGTACTTTCCATGTACTAACAAGCCGGCTTATTGTCAATTTGTGCCCCTAATTCAGCTATTTTTAGCTATTTATTACATCGAATTAGAGTGTCAGTTAACAAAATGTACCAAAATGTACCAAAACTGCATCCACTCTTTCGAATTGGTACCAAAATAAACGTTATTAAGGTACTTACAATATTTCATTTACTTTAATATTTAGTTGAAATTAATCAACAACAAAATACCAAAAATCGAGAAATTGTATATTATATTTATAAATTTAATAATTTTTTCTTCAAAATGGTACTTATTTTTGGTACCAATTACTGTTTTTCAGCTGACAACCGTGCTTGCTGTGCTCTCTCCCAAATTTGCTCGCTCTCTCTCGCTCCAACTGTTTTTTTTCTTGCTCTCCCACGCCAAAAATTGCAAACATCTGTTTTTGCAGGCGGCGGCGGCCAATGCGCATGTCAGTCGCACGTGTCAGTCGCGCGCGCCCACGCTAACGGTACCTACGCTAAACAAAAACAAGTTGTCACACAACGACAACGCCGACGTTTTCTTTTATTTTTACGTCACCTTCGTTGCCGCTGCTGCCAGGCGAACTGCCGCTGCCCAGCCATAGCAATAATAACAACAATGGCGACACACAGACGCAGCTGCAAGCAGCGCTCGAAAGCATGCTAGCATTTGAGTCTGTGTATGTGTGTGTATGCATTGCAGGCGCCATGTTTGTTGTTGCTGCTGCAGCTACTGCTGCTGGGTAAATGATTTGTTTTGTCATGTGAACAATGCCACAAGGCACACACACACACTCACACAGACACACTCTTTAGTGATGCGAATTTTGTTTATTCGAGCATTTGTTTGCTTTGTTGCCTTTGATCAGTCAGCCTTAGCCTTCGCCTATCGATATCGGTTTTAATTATCGAATTGCCTTTGTAATTATTATGCAGGCTCTGGCCACACGCTGTCGTTGCTTAGTCTTTACTCAACACTAACACATCGAATGTACATATATGTAAAGGCCTCTGTAAACATATGTGTGTGTTTACTTTGCTGTTGCTGTGCCCTGTTAGGTTTAATAACAGGTAAAAGGGGTCGGATAAGGTTGAGCGAAGGTGTGTTGCGGTCAGAGACTTCGCTGCAGTTTCATATTGTTTATATAAATCATTGGTACAGGATATCTTTTAGTTAAGCAATATATTTTGCTCCCTTTGGCATGGCTAAGGCAATAACTATTGTCTATTTGTCACGCCCCATCCAGTTGGATTTTTATTTGCCTCTCAACGCCAACTGATTTAGTGGCTGAGTATTGCGTGTTCTTCGTCCTTCGAACATGACCATTGCAGAAGTGTAATAAATTTCCTTTTGCTCTTCTTCTACTTCCACATCATTATCTTGTTCTTGGTTGTTTTGGTTTATTTTGGCTGGTCTGCGGCCTTCGCTTTGAACTACTGTTATTTTCTGGCCATTTTTTGGTCTTGTTGCCGAATGTCCTTGAGCCGCTTACATAACGCGTCGCTTTGTCTCTGCATGTGTGTGTGTGTGTGTGTGTGTGTGGGCAGGGAAGTGTGGGTGGATTATTAAATTTTATGCGTCATACTTATTACGATCTCTGGGCAAAAAGTTTGAGTTAAGTATGCTTAAGTCTATTGAACTTATTCTCCGAATCTACTCCCATTTAGTTTATTTATTTTTTTTTTTGGATTTGTTACCATAACAAGCTCTTCAAACAAAAACTTTTCTGATATAAAAGCTGTTTTGATGCGGTTCCTATTGTTGTTTGTTTTTCATGCACAATATTTTTAATTGAAAATGTTTTTCCTAAAACCTAATTTTGGCAGGGAAGGTAATTCTAAGCTTTTTTGAGGCGCTTCAATGAATTTCTTGGACCTGAAACCGAATTGAATTTGGTGTTAAATGAATAAAGTGTACTACGAAATCCCATATAAAAGCTTTTTGTGGCGTTTCTGTGAATTTCTTGGATTAAATACTGAGTATGAAACCGTAAACCACATTTCTAACTGAATTTCTTAAAACTTCGCTTTGCTGTTAAATGAATAAATTGTTCTAAGAAATCCCATAATAAAATCTTTTTTTAGGAGTACTGAGTATAAGATCGTACGCCAAATTGTTCGCCCAACTTCTTAAAACTGTAAACTAAAGCCCTTAATTTTCACGGCTTTACTTTGTTGTTAGAAATAATGCCAAGGCATGACGATCAAATCGAAAACTCAAAGAATACGCTTTTCTTAATTTAAGTACATTTGTCTAAAATTAAGTATGATTTATTTGGAAAAAATAATTTAGCTTACAGGCTTTTAGGGATTTCAATCTTGGCAGAATGTTGATATAGTTTCTACCTGATTTGAACACAAAGTTCTACATTTTTTCTCTGAGTGTGCGCCTATCTCCAAGCATTTTGGGCTTAATTTAATTATTTTTTAAATTTAAGTTGTCCTTAATTCAAGTTGATTTTATACGCTTACTTGAATATGAATTGACTACACGCTGTTGGCTCTTCACTGAGCACACACCCATACACACACATGTACACCCACACACACACACACACACCCACACACATGGCTTTCGCATAGTCACACTTTACGTGCGGAAAATGGTCGTGAAAAAGTCGTGAATGCCATGAAATCCATGCCAAGATTGCCATCTTGGGTGCACAAGGCGTTTGTCCTTTGGTTTCAATTATGTGCACTTAGTGCATGCTGTTCAAGTACAAGGATAATGTGTATATACACAAAACACTTTGTGCACATTCTATCGCACATATCTTGCATATCTGTTGTGCAGCAGCTGTTTCCAAGCCCCAGCCCCAAGCCTCAGCCTTATGCATCAGCCTGGCTCTGCACTCTCTGATTTTGATTTTCTTTTTCCTTTTCTTTTTCCTTTGCCTTTTTGCGGCTCGTGTCGGTCGATCGATATGGAAATGCCACGAACCTGATATTGAAATGTATTCACCAGTAAGTCGTACACATGTGCGAGATATTTTCAATGGCAGGCAAAATGGAATCGCATACATTGGCAGGCACTGTGTACATTGTAATTACAACTGAATTACGTACGGCTTGTTATCCTTGCAAGCTCTTAACCCAAACACACACACACACACACACACAGACGCGAACACTAGGCAAAAATCAATTTAAGCTGCATGTCCTGTTCTGACAATTCCTCTGCGGTCGCTGACTGTCCACTCAATTATTAATTTCATTTAACAATGAAAATTGCTGGACAAAGAAAACAATAAGGTAAAATGGTGGAAAAAAACCATGTGGAGGTGCGGAATGTCAAAGTGGAAGACTGGCATGCCCGGCAGAGTCCTTTCGACTTGCTATTCCTATGCTCGCTGTTATCTTAAAACTGCAAGAAATTGATTTAAAAATGGACTCTAATTCGTAGTTTTAAGATATTTCTGGTTTGTTTTGAGTATTTTTTTAGACTTTACCAATTGTCTACAATTTTTGTTGTATAAAAATTGGGTTTCCTTATAAATAATGTAAGTTTTGTTCCTGGTATTGAAAAAAAAAAGGTGTGAGCACTATTAACAGTTGTCTGTTAACCCTAACATTGCTGTGGGCTGCGCGCTGTTAGAGCGCTGTTAACAGCTGTAAATGCGCTGTAGTGTACAAGGGTTTCGCTAGCTGAAACTTGTTAAAATATACAAAATGTTTATTGTTTTTTTAGAGTTTTAACTATTTAACATATTTATAGATTTTCTTAACATTTAAAAAATTAAATTGTTGAGAAACGAAGACTAAGTATCAATACTTCTTCCTTCTCTTTATAGTTTTGTAACGTATTGGTTGCTCAGCCCATGGTCAAAGTAATAGAACTGTTATATAAAGTAATATAACAGTTATATATAAAGTAATATAACCGTTGTATAGTGATATAACAGCATGTAATATAATATGCTGTAAAATATAATGCTATTCTTTTTATATACTTATTACAAATTGTTGAAAACGATTTACCGTCAACAATAGTTATTGATGCGTTAAGTTATTCAAATTATACTTTGTTATGATAAAGCTATGTTATTATTATTTTTATTTTTATCTAATTTAATTTAAAAAAATATTTACATATATTTATTTGATACTTATTTATTTTGTAAACATATTTTTTTATATTTATTAATATTTTAATATTTAAAGATTTTTAAGTGTACTTGCTTCACTGTGCGGCAACCGGCATTTTCATCACTCTCTCGCTCTCTCTCTCTCTGCCTCTCTCACTGGCTTGCTCTCTTTCCGCCCCTCTCAGTCGGTCTCGCTCTCGCTTCTCTGCCTTGAGGCTCTCCGTGTTATGAGTTTTCCCGCTGCTGTTTGTTGCTCTGTTTCAGTTCTTGACTTCGGAGCGCGGACTGCAGTTTGCTTTTTTTCGATTCAACGCAACGAAACAAAATCGAAAATAATATTGCAATATTATAAACAACAAAAATGTTTTCTTTATATATATTTAAACGAAAAAGTGTGTGCGTGTGTGTGTGTTTATAGTTATCTGTGTTGCGGCAAAGCACGTGTGTGTTTATTGAGCAAGAATTGCGCCATTTTTGCCGCGCAGAAACTGAAAAACGCAATTGAATTTTATGATAATATTCGAATTTTTGAATATTTAGTTGGTTCTCTTATTTTTTAAAAGCATGCTGTGCCCATAATTGATGTTATTTATAAACCCAACAACGCGGCGCAATGTTTTAAAATCCAAACAAAAAAAAAAAACCAAAAAAACAAAAACACATTCGAAAATCGAAAATCGACGCTAAAAGGCAAACGGAACAGCTGCGGAAAATGCTGTGAAAAACCAACGTCAGAACGTGCGTAAAAAACAGACAAGCTTCTTGTAAAATATATACATATTTTAGTTTTATTTTTGTTTTCGTTTTCGTTTCGTCTAGTGACATTTGTACAGCACCTTTTTTTTGTCCATCGCTGTCGCTGTGCGTATTTTTAGAAATTGTTTTTCATAATTTCTTTTCCAATGAATGCAATGAAATTTTCAACCAAAAATTTGTACTTTCTGTTTATTTTGGCCTCGCTCTCTCCCTCCCTCTCTCTTTTTGTCTGACTGGCTCTCGCCCTCTCATTTTGCAACACTGTTCTACTTTTTGTGCTGTGAACCCGTTTCGCATTCCAAATTTTTGTATTATTCCGGTCATTTGCGTTCGCCTCTTTGCGACATTCTTGTCGTTGTCGTTGTTTTTTTTTGTCCCGCTGATAACGAACGCGAACTGCCAACAGCCTAGAAACCTACCTACACAAAACTTCCCTACACATTAAGGTACATCTCTGTCTGTAAGGTCTTTGATCATATTTGAGTCTACCTATACAAAACTCCCCTACATCTGCAGGTACACCTCTGGCTATGTATACAAAACTCCCCTGAATATGTAGGTACATCTCTGGCTATGTATACAAAACTCCCCTACATCTCTAGGTACATCTATGGCTCTGTTTATAACTCCCCTACACATTAAGGTACATCTCTGTCTGTAAAGTCTCTGATCATATCACAGTCTACCTATACGAAACTCCCCTACATCTGCAGGTACACCTCTGGCTATGTATACAAAACTCCCCTAAATGTGTAGGTACATCTCTGGCTATGTATATAAAACTCCCCTACATCTCTAGGTCCATCTATGGTTCTGTATACAAAACTCCCCTACACATTTAGGTACATCTCTGGCAGTAAGGTCTCTTATCATATCAGAGTCTACCTATACGAAACTCCCCTACATCTCTAGGTACACTTCTGGCTATGTATACAAAACTCCCCTAAATGTGTAGGTACATCTCTGGCTATGTATACAAAACTCCCCTACATCTCTAGGTACAGGTAAGGTCTTTGATCATATCTGAGTCTACCTATACAAAACTCCCCTACACATTTAGGTACATCTCTGCCTGTAAGGTCTTTCATCATATCAGGCTGGCAGCTGTTGAGCTCAGTTTGGTTTTTCTATTGTTTTAATGACAGATTCCTCTATGTGCGATGTTTTACTCTAGAGAAAATATAGGCTACGGGACGGGTTTTTACGACATAACCCAACACGAACATGAAGTTAACATTTACCAACACGCACGTGAACAAAGCGCGGTGAATCCCCGACACGAGAATAACATTTATTTTGTTGGGTTTCTAAGCAGTTTATCTTTGTATTTATACAAAAAGAATCATTTCGCAATGCTGGAGCTCATTAAGAATGTTGCCTGAGGTTCAAAAAACCCGTTTGCTAGTCTCGCAGCTAGTTAAAATGCAGAGAATAATTGTTATTGGCTAATGTCTGCCGAAGTTTCGCTTCTTGCCAAAAATTCAAAACTGGTTTTGGCTTCTTTCATTGTTGCAGAATATGTTGCTAAGTCACGAGAGTGTTACCACGAAGAAAAACTCGGTCCAAGTCCGACTTTGCTTTACACTAAGAAACAAAGTAAACTTTTGATTCAAATTCCAACAGCTGTTTCTATTTTTTACTCTCGGAAATTATATTTTATAGACTTTTATTAGTACTTTTTTTCCAACATTTAAACAGCTTTTATTCTGACCTGAAATCGTGTAAACATTTACACAGTCTGAGATATTCACAATTTCAATCTATATTTAACACAGTTTAATAGCTCGAGTCTCCCACTTGACGTACACAGATGTTCGCTCTTGAAGAACAATCCAAAAATATGGCCACACTTTTTCTTTTTCGCAGTGTGTCTGCATTTAGCCCAAACTACTTTTACGCTTGTAATTCCCAACTAAGTTGTTTTGTTTTCCATACAGAACGAAATATTCCAAAAATGTTATTTTATCATGAAAAAAACCGAAAAAGATTAATCAAAATCTATCTGGACATAAAGAATTTGTTTGTTTTCATTTCAATTAAGCCCACCTTTGTTATCTAGTCTGCACATTTTTGTGCCTAATGCCCATTTGGCCATATTTCTTGCGGCATTTTCCTTGTAAAACGCTGACCACTTTACTATCTATAAATATGACACAAGAAATATATATCACACAGCTAATAACAAAAGCCCCAAAAACAGAAAGCCCTCCGATAACAGTTTCTATATAATTATATTATGTAGGTCTCGACCAAGCCTTTGATTTATGATGAATTGTTGTCACATAGCTCGCTATCTTCAATGTAATTCCGGTAATATTTGTACATCAAAACTCGTTTAGTTCGATGTATACCCTTAAAAAATATTCCAAATTGTTTTTAAAGCCCATCATTAGATTCAAATTACATTTGGTTAGAGCATAAAATCACGTTGTAAAATTGACTTTGGTATCAGAAATAGATGACCTCATATTTTGTCCAAAAACCGAGAATATGAAACTGGTTTTTTATGTGGGCGTAAATTGATTAAGACTCAAAGCTCTCTCGGTTCCAAGAATTAAAGAGATGCGAAGTGGCATAAAATAATCCAAGCGATAAGTTTTGCCTTCTTACTTCTTACTTATAAAACGTAAGAAAAGCCATATTATTTCTACTCAAAACTCTCTCGATTCATAAATTGTTGGCTTTGCTTTCAAAATGTAAATTATGACGTATATTTGCGATAAGAATTGTACGAATTTCAAGTGCACGATTCCGCCTAATGTTTTAATCAATATACATATATATATATATATGTCTGACTATATACAACACGCCCTTGCCCAAAATGCGGAAACCCCTTGACGCCATAAATATATGCGCCTTGCTTATCGAGAGACTAACAGCAAACCAATTACGAAGCCACCCGCTGGCCAAAAAAGGGACCATTTCAATGGCATTGGGATAAAGTTTCTTAGTTTTTTCTTTTCATTTTTTTTTTGGGAAGCTTGTCACTCGGAGCTATGGCTCCCCGGACGTGCCCCTGAGCCCGGCAGTCGCTTAGCATTTGTCGTCAAACCGTAAAATGATTTTGCGGTGATTTGTGATACACATTTTGGCTGTGTTCTTCTTGTTGTTGTTCTTTTGCGGTCTTTTTTAGCCCCTCATTTATATAAGATTGTTTGCTTGTTGTCAAGGCCAGAAGTTCTGGGAACGGGCTGAGCTGAGCTGGAACGAATTCGTGAGCGTTTGTCAATAAGTAATTGAGCCAATTATAATGCAGAATAGTTAAGAAATTGCGGGATTGATAAACGAAATGTATAAGCCTTTAAGAATAAATCATATTTATGCCGCGAGAAAATTAAATCAATTGAAGTGCAGAAAAAAAACTGGATCGATATTTATGGTTATCGATTAGAGAGAAAGGGAATTATTAACGATATTTAGTTGATGGCTCAGCCGGATCGAGTATAACAAAGAAGTGTTATTTTTTGGTGTATTCTCGCGTTTTGCTCAAAAGCTCAAGTTCGACATCGATAGTTATCGATTGGAGAGAAACGGGCAATATTATCGATTTATGAATATGAAATATAAACGATATTTTATTGGTGGCTTAGCCGGCTCGGGGTCTAAAGGACTAATCAAGAAGTGTAAATTATACTTACGATTTGCTCAACAGCCCTGGTTCGATATCGATAGTTATCGATCGGAGAGAGATGTGGAGTATAATCGATATTTAGTTAATGGTTTAGTCGACTCTAGGTCTAAAAGAATATCCAAGAAGTGTTATCCTATGCCCAAAAACATTGATTCAGTATCGAAAGTTATCGATTAGAGAGAAATGTGGAATAATATCGATATCGATAGGTTTCGATTAAAGAGAAATATATAATTTTATCGATATTTTGTTGAGGGTTTAGCCGGCGTAAGGATTTGGATTCGAATTAAACCAATCAACTTCTTCCTTTCTATTAAGCAATATATATATTTACATATCTTTTTCGATATCGATATATATATGTATAGATAAACTTCTTCCAAACCATCTCTTAAAGTCTTTGGGATTGACCAAACAATTATTTCATTATGTCTATTTGCATAAAAGTTTGTACACAAACAAATAATAATGGGCTTTGTGAAAACAATACAGTGTCCAAAATGCGCATGACTTTATTGTTTTTATCTGTCATGCAAATAGATAATAAAAGTAATAAAGCAACTTGTACCTTGGCGTAAATTCCGTTCTATTCCTATTCAAGGATAAATAATTTCCAATTGCTTTGCGTAGGCATTTTGTGGCACAACCCAACACTTGACACACATTTAGGGCTCACAATTGGATCCGTTAACTGGGCCACACAATGAAGAAGGGAATGCCTCTCTGAGGGGTTTATTATTCAAGTTTGCAAATGCCAATGGAAATTAAAATGAATTCTCCGAGTACCCACGCACTCACATGCATACACTTTGAGAAATATCCAAGCATTTTTAACTTAAAATTAAGTTGTCAAAAAGCAGGAAAGAAGTTCTTATTTTAAGAATTGCTTTAATAAAATTCATAAATACCAGACTCAAATAAAGTACTTAGTAAGTGTTTTTACATAGATTGAAATAGTTTTAAACTTGTTTCCAGCATGCAAGTATTTGTTAAAAGTATTTTGTGCTTAATTTGAGACTTTTTCTTAAATTCTCATTCTAAGATCTTCCCTTTCTTCGATCTAAGAAGAAGACACAGATGTAATACTTAATCATAAAAATGTTTTACTTGAATGGAACAAGATTAAAGCTTGTTTTAAGCATGTAAGTTAGTGTAATAAGATTTTTCTTCTTAAACCAAGCCTTTTTCTTGAATACTTATTCTTACATAATTTCTTCTTTTTAATCTCGAAATTTCTAAGTACAAAAGACAAATTCATTATCAATCCTAGAAATCTTTTACTAGAATTGAAAAAGGATAAGAATTAAATTTTGTTTAAAGATGAAATTTGTAGTGCTTAAATCAAGTC